GGGGCGGAGGCAGCGTAGGTGCTGGTTGTGAAGGGGTGCCTTCTTGAGGTCGATCCTGCAACTTGTAATCACTTAAATTCCAGTCTTCTCCTCGCCTCAAGCCAGCCTGCAAAAAGAGGAGCAGTGGCGAGTCATGTCTCCCGGATTCGCTGAAGCCCTTTTTTAAAGACTTGCGGTACCACGAGGGTGGCATTTCCACAATGACTTGCAAGCTCTGTCATTTCCAAGTCCACTCGAAGCCCGGCACCACCTCCAACTTCCTCCGGCACATCAAGGTGAGTCCTGCCTCGGCCTCTGTGTCACTTTCATACCAGAGAGCCGATCCCAGCCTGAGCCTGGCTGAGCTTCGCTCTCTGGGCTTGATTGACGCGTGTCCACCCGCACCGTTGCAGTTACATTAGTGCCCTTCAGCTTGTGGAGAGGAGCGGTATTTTGTAGGAACTATTTTGGTAGTTCATGAAATGAAAAGGGTCTTGAACACTGTTACGTTTCTTGTTTTATTAAAAATTATTAAAAAGTCGCTACTCTCCCAGAATAGTTATTGAGTAATTTTAGTCTTTTTTTTTTGTCTGTGTGCTGGAGACCGAGAGGACTAGATTTTTGCTCTTAACCTTCTCACATCTGTCCAGGAGGGGCTCCTATCGTTCATTTACTCTGTTCCGTAATTCAGGAAATAATCGTGTAGATGATTGAATTCCTCTCTTGTGACTGGCTACGAGTTTGAGCAGCCGTTGACAGCGTGTCCCGTTTTTCTCCCCATTTTCCTCTCTTACAGACGAGACACATGAAGGACTTAGTGGGTCAAAGGATAAAGGTGAAAATCAAGAAGGAGGGCCCTGCGCTCAAGGCGCGAAAAGTCTCCCCACCTCAGGCGGCCATCTCCCCTTTGCCTGCAGCCGTACAGGACGCCGGCAGCCAGCCCTCCGGCTCCGGCTCATTACAGTTCCGGCAGAAGGCCATCACGGAGGCCGTGCTGCGCATGATCGCCGAGGACATGCTCCCGCTCAGCTTCGTGGAGGGCTCCGGCTTCCGCAACTTCATGACCGTGGTGGAGCCGCGCTACCCGCGGCTGTCCCAGCGCGCGGTGGGGCTGAAGCTGTACGACGAGGTGGAGAAGAACGTCAAGCCGACGCTGATCAGGCAGCTGAAGAGCTGCGTGGCCACGGGCGGCGGCGACGCCGTCATCCACGCCACCCTGGACCTGTGGGCCAGCCGCTGCGGGGAGCCCGTCATCGGCGTCCAGCTGCACTTCTTCGACGAGCACTGGGACGTGCAGCGGCCCACCGTGGCCTTCCGCCACCTGAACCGCAAGAACGTCACGGCGGCCGTGGCGCGCGAGCTGGAGGCGGTGCTGCTGAGCTACGGCCTGTTCCCCCACAACGTGGGCTACGTCGTGGCCAGCGAGGCCAAGAGCGCCATCTCCACCTACGACCTGTTCTGCGACTACAGGCTGATGTGCGCCGCCCAGAAGAGCGACCCCGACGAGGAGGAGATCCTGAGCTTCCTGGCCGACTTCTTCCCCATGGACGAGATGGAGTTCTTGGACATCCAGTTCGGGACGCGGGCCGGCTGCATCGCCCACCTCCTGCAGCTGGTGATCAAGGAGGCCCTGAAGAGCTCGCGGGTGGTGGAGAACCTGCTCTCCCAGGTGCACAACGTGGTGGCCTTCTTCCGCCGCAGTGCCTACTGGACCGAGGTGCTGGTGAAGGAGTGCGGGCTGTCCCTGGCCCCGCCGCACTCCGCCAGCAGCTTCCGCTGGAACTCCACCTTCGTGTCCCTGCGCAAGATGGTGCAGGAGGCGGTGTGGGGCTCCGTCATGACCCTGCTGGCCCAGGCGCGCATCGAGGCCAAGGACTCGTCCAGCGCCCCGCCGCAGGTGCGGGCCAAGCGGGAGCAGGTCCTGGACATCATCGGGCTGCTGGAGCCCTTCGAGGAGGCCACCCAGGTGCTGCAGGGCGACGGCATCACCTTCTCCCTCATCATCCCTTCGCTCGTGGGCCTCGACAAGACCCTGGAGACCAGGTCCACCAACTACGCGCACTTCTGCAAGAGCCTGCGGGCTGGCCTGCACGCCAGGTTCCAGCCGCTCATCCTGCAGAGGGACCTGATCCTGGCCACGGTGCTGGACCCCCGGATCAAGCTGCAGCCCTTCCGGGACGGGAAGCAGGAGCAGGAGGACGCCTGCCTGACCCCCCCGACCAAGTTCCAAGCCAAGATGGTGGTGGAGTCCACGGCGGTCAACCTGGGGGTCTGGGGCGCTCAGGAGGACGGGGGCGTGAAGCAGGAGGACAGCCAGGAGGAGGACCCAGACGAGGCGGAATCAGCCGGCCCCGTGAGCTCCAACCTCAAGCACAAGAAGATCTTCAGCTTCTTCCAGCCCCCGGCCAAGACCGCCAAGTTCTCCGAGGTGGACCTCTACCTGGCGGAGAACCTGCTGGACGGCGACGCCTCCCCGCAGGCCTTCTGGAAGGAGGCTGCCCGTTTCCCCCGCCTCCAGAGCCTGTCCAGGAAGCTCCTGGCCGTGCCGGCCACCTCGGGGGGCTTCGACCGGCTCTTCCCGCTGGCCGGCTGCATCGTGCGGGCCAGGAGGAGCAAGCTGCCCCCCCACACGACCGAGAGGCTCCTCCTGTACAGGGAGGCGCTCAAGAGCGCGGATGGCAGATAGCCCGCCCGTTAACAGTGGTCCGTGCCGGAGTGTAGTACAAATGGGAAACGAGCTTTAGAAGCGTGTGGATTTCAGGGCTCTGGCCCTGGTGCGAGTGGACATGAACACTGGTCCCTGTCTCTCCCATCTGCAGGAAAAATGAATTTCCAATGTCAGCGATGTGTGAGGCAGTAACTTGTGGAGAAGGGAGTGAGCATTCCCTCAGCGTCCCTTTTATTTCTTCTGTTGGTGAAAGCGTGTATCATAATGTCGCCCCATCATGTGCTTACGTGGCCCAGTAGGTTTAACTGTCAGGACCTTATTTACCTAGCATTTCGGGAAAAATCATTCTATATAGTGTTAAAACGCGTGAACGTAGTCCTGGGACGCTGGCGAATCTGAATCTGTGGTGCTTTGTGGTCTAATGTATGGTATATGAAATACGTATGCATATTTACTGAGCAAACTTCATCTACAACATCAAAATCATGTTAGTTTTTTTGTATTAAAACTAAGTTGCATGCGGAATATAGTACTCTATAGCTGCTTTTTCTGATACATGAGCATGGGAGTTATAATTTTTCATTTTAATCTTTAAGAATTATGGCAGCCATTTCTTTTATAGACCTAACTAAACCTTTAATCAGTGTGTATGAGACCTGAGTACTTTGGAAGCAACCTCAGTTTTTTTTTTGTTTTGTTTTCATTTGTCAAAAGTGGCCTTGAGTTCTAACGAACACTAGCGACCATTCCATTTGGTTATTGTGCATCTCCCGATGAATTTCATGCTGCTTTAAGATTTCTTAGCATTAAAAAATAATGTCCACTACCTTGTCTCCTGTGAGTTTCAAAATTTTTCTTGCAAGTTGCAGTTTTGCACGTAGCGATTACAGTCTCCAAAGCTACAGAGTGCCTGCCGTTACGCAGCAGGGAGATCGGACTAGCTGCTGGTGCTGTGCGCGTTGAGGGTCTGCCTTTTTGGCTGATGTGTCAGGAAAGCTTCCACAGAAGTCGATTGTGATGGTAGTACTGGGACAGGCCTAAAGCAGTTCTGTGGTGAACTTTCTTTACTCCAGTGACGTCCCCAGCCAGGCAGTGCTGACGTGCCCTGCTAAACAGACCGCGCCGCTTGCTTTCCCTGATGCGTCCCGCTGAGAGAGAGCTGAGCAGAAGAGAGACGCACTCAGTCAGCAAGGCTGATTAGTAAATAATTGTCTTGGTTTGGGTTCAGGGCTTTGAACCAAGTTCAAGTACAGGCTTCATGAGCACATTTGAACCTCTTAACCTGCTGCCTGACTCATAAGAGCAACGAGTGAAGGCTGTTCACCCCATCTGGCTCTCTCGGTGGTTAGTAGCCAATTAGTCCAAATCCTTTCAGCCATTAATTGAAAAAAGCAAGGTTATCGGCTTCAACAACATGGCTGGGTAAAGCGTGTAGGACATCCCTTTAAGCTTGGGAATGCATCACTCACACACATCATTATTCAGCTCCAGGACAGGAGTGTATTTGTTTCTGAAGCAGTAACTTAAATTGTGCACTGTATTCTGTACTGGTGCATTGTACAATTGTAATAACACCCCTTGAAATAAATCATGCACTTTTAATGCTTATGGTACTATTTTGGCAGTTTTTTTTTGCCTTCCCTAGTAAATGGAACTGTGAACACAGACAATTAAGTCTCTTTCATAGATGTGTGAAGTTCAGCATTTCCCATTAGAAAAGGCTCGTTTGTGCTGTGTGTATGTAACACTTTGCACTTGCCTACATTAAAGGCCATTTGCGTGATTTTTACAGTCTTGTATTCTGTCTCTTCTTCTCTACAGTTTGTAAAATAGTTGATAATCCTTCTATTTTGGCATCTCCTGACCACCAAAATCTACGTTATATTAAGAGGAGCACTGGTCCCAGTACTGATCCATGAAGTACTTTGAAACTGACATCTCAGTTTGAGTATTTATCCCTCCTCTGTGTGTCCTACCTATTAGGCAGTTCCTAACTGAAAGACATGCATTGCATTGTTTAAAACGACATGTCAATATAACAAGCCTAGTGCTTGGAGTGCGTTTAGCGTATCGGTATGCTGTGACTTTAGGGTGAGGTGCTTTGGGCTTCGGAATCGGGTCTGAGCTCAGAATGTGGTGCTGCTGGCTAATTTTATTTCTTTCTGCCCTGGTGAGAAGCATGAAAATAGTGCATCTCGCCTGTCGTGAGTGATCTTGGGTCCGTTAATCCACTTCTCAGAGTGGTGCATTAAAGGGTTCAACGTTTTTCTTCCCTGCTTGGGAGCACTTATTTTTTTTACTTGACACGTACCTGTTTTAGCCTCATCTGAAAAAACGTTCAGACTTTTTTTTTGCCTGAGCAGAATCAAAACCACTCTGATAGTTGAGAGGAATTCTAGTTTGTCTTTATGGTGGATCATTTTGAGGTTTAAAGCTATTCTTTTCAGAGCTGCTATTCTGGCTTGTCAAAATACCAGTTCACCGTTCTGCAGAGTGTTCTGTGGCGAATTAAAAAAAGATAGAACTGTCACTTTGAGTGTAAAGTGAGGGGTTAGAGTGACTGGAGAGGAGGGTGTTTGTTCTGTTGATGTGGTATTAGCAGTTCTGTTCACTGGGTGCGTCCTGAGGGTGTAGTGAGTAGGACCCTCAGTGATAAGTCCTAACCCTGTCAGCCGCTGTTCTGCTCTGAAAACCAGACAGGACGGGGGGTCCTAACTATTCTGGTTGGTAGTATACCTGTCTGCCGTGAAGTATTTTCATGCCATTGGGAATGAAGCACGTGGAATTTCAGATCTTTATTTCCCAGCTTCTCTGTCTCCGACTTTGGCTGATTGGTGCATATCTGATGCATATCGGTGCCATATGCTGACAATATCTAAAATGTCAGCTGTCCATAGTAGATCTTCGCCTTTACGGCACTTTTTTAATGCAAACTTCATTGGCTTATTGGTATTGAAACAAGAAGGCTGATCTGCGCGTACGTTACAGTGGATCTGAGGGGCGCGGTGACCCCAGGCGTTGCTGGTGCAGAGGGTCGCTGTGCGCCCACGTGGGACCCGGAGCCCTGCGAGAGTGATCCGTGACCTCAGTCTCCCCCTCTCCCTCTCTCCCTCTCCAGGACCTGGAAGGCTGGTGTGACCTGGCCACCTTCGACCTGTCGGAGGACAGCCAGGGCTCCGAGGTGCTGCAGTTCCGGCTGGAGGGGAGCGCCCTGCAGGAGCTGAGCCGGGGCAGCCGCGGGGAGCTGATCCCCATCTCGCCTGGCGGGGCCACCCCCCCCTCCATCCTGACGCGCCGCGCCCGCCGCCGGCCCCCCGCGCAGTCCCCCGGCAGCAGCCTGATCGAGCTCAACGACTCCATGACCCCGAAGAGCACCCCGGTCAAGATCCTGCCCTTCTCGCCCTCGCAGGTACCCCGCTATCGGTGATCAGTAGGTGGTGTTTCATCTCATTATCTAACTAATCTTCCCTTGGATACAGGGTAACGCAGATTGCCTGCTGCTGAGATACAGGTAGTGGACAAAAAATAAGGGCATTAAGCCACCCCTGCTGGTCTGTGTGGCTTTTATACACTGCGGGCTAAAGTCTAGACACACCTGGAATTCTGTGGAATTTTGCACGAGGGCACCATTTTTCCACAAGGAAGTCAATCATCCTACACCTCGTTGGGGGAAGTGAAAATCACCGTCTCAGCCATCGTTCCAGAACATCCCATTAATGTTCGATTGGGTTCGGATCTGGCGACAGAGAAGCTCATGACACATGGATGACATTGCCGGGCTCAACAAACCATAGGCAGCCCTACAGTCGGATGCAAACGTTTGGGCATGTTTCACAGAATCTAAGTGAAAAGAAGTTACACAACTTCTGCAGGGTTCAGATCTAAACATGACATATTTCTGCACATTTTAATGCACAGTTACTATTTATTTGCTCGGTTTGACAGATTGAAAAAAGATAAAATAGTAAGTGTGGCATTTGCAAAAGTTTAGACACCCTGTCAGTCACTACTTAGTAACACCTCCTTTGGCAGAAATCACAGCTTCCTAATGTTTCTTGTACCCAGCTAGGAGTCTTTTCTATTCTTGCTGTGTAATCCTAGTGTCCTGGCCAAATTTCCCCCTGGCCCTTACCAGTCATGCCCTCCTAATAATCCCCATCTCTGAACTGGCTTCATCACTGTTCTCCTCCCCACTGGGAGCTGGTGTGTGGGGAGCGTACTGGTGCATCATCCAGGTGGGGCTGCACACTGGTGGTGTGGAGGGGAGTCCCCATTATCTGTAAAGTGCTTTGAGTGGAGTGTCCAGAAAAGCACTATATAAATGTAAGGATTATTATTGTAATAACTGTAAGCAACTACAAGCCTGTCCTTTATACTCATAAATGACCCTAAACCTGCTAATCCCTCGCTTTTAATATATTTAACATCCCTTATTTAGTCCGCTCTTTCCTTGTTTTTGTCTACTACCTGTAAGAATACAGTATAAATTCCTGTGTCTTGGATTTTGGCAGGCATTACGAATGAGAGTCTGTGGTATCTCATGTTCTATATGGGTATTTTAGTGGGGGTATTTAGCAGTGGGTTATGCGTGCAGCAGCACAGGGTCTGACAGTGACTGAGTGATCATGTCCGTGTGCTTGTCTGCAGTTCCTCAACATGTGGACCAAGCAGGACACTCTGGACCTGGAGAACCCTTCGCTCACTTCCACCCCCGTCTGCAGCCAGAAGGCCATTGTCAGCACCCCCCTGCACCGGGACAAGACCCCCCTCAACCAGAAAGACGGCTCTGTGTGCGTACAGACCCCCGATGAGCAGAGATCCTCTGTTTCCTCCACAGGATATCGCCCACAGCAGTTCTCCTGTTCTCAGTTTTAAATGCTCTTGCATATATAAGAACAGAGCATACCAAAAGTAGATGTTTGTAATATTTTATCATTTGTATTTTTAATTGGGTATTTTTTGTTTTTCCGGCATTTGTAGTTCGTCACTGGCTGTTCTGCTGTTGCTGTGAAGTTCAAAGGTCAAATGCATTGTGTTTGCCTTCCCAGATTTGAAATTATTTTCAAGGCCAATCCTATCCTATGGCTTACACAGGCGATTCGAGCTGTCTGTTTCTCTGGAGGGCAGGGGCCACTGATCAGTCTGTGTCTGCGTGCGTGACCGTTGTTTTCTGTGTTCCTGCAGGTTCATCACTCCCAACCACAAGGCGGACCTGAGCTCCACCCCTCGCACCCCCACGCCCTTTAGAACCGCCCTGGAGAAGTACGGCCCGCTGCGCCCCCTGGTGAGCCTGCGCCCCGAGTCGCGTGGAGGCGCCGTTGAGCTCCCAGTAACGCAGGATACCTGCAGAGCCCCATGGGAACTGAAAATCAAGTCTTGAAAACAGGAGGATAGCATCCTGCAACTCAAATTTAACAATAAAAG